TTGACGGATTGTCCATCTACCTTGGATTCTAGAAAAATCACAACTCCTCCCCTGTGAAATTCAGGGCCTAAACAGAAGGCATAAAACACAACACATACACCCATCCCCAGCTTACCAAACGTTTACCCCCTCCCCCCCAGGAGGTCTAAGTCTTGCCCTCAACACAACTACAAGAGCTCCACCCCACCAAGGCGTCTCTTGGTTATTCCTTTGTATTTCTTTCTCCATCCCAAATTTTGCAAATTAATCACTATCACAATCAGTTCCCCTCTTCCAATTCCTCACACACTCAATATTTCATTTTCTGATAGTCTTGTAGCCCTAATTACAGCCTTATCAGACTTACAGTCGTGTCCCCTGACCCTCCTTACTCACAGCTACTATGGTCTTGCCCTTGCTGGTAAGGTTTAAACTTACTAAATAGAGATCTCTCTTGGACAGGAGGTCTTTATATACAAAGGACACGCGGTTTCGACCAGACAGGCACTTTTTTAAGATGACAGAACCAATCTGTGCACCACCTGAGCACGGATAGCCAGAACGGATGGAAGCGAGAATGCATTGTACGTGTAGCCCCCCTTGTTGGCGGCAATCCTTCTAAACGCTACAACCAAGGTCCAGAAAGATCCACAAAAATCCTTGGCGCAAACCAAAATACTTATTTTGACCCAAAATAAAAAGAGAACTCAATAGCCGTGCGAAAGCCACGAAAGGCCGCGGGGCAGTTTACAAATCTAAATATTCAATATACCTCTTATCTTCAAATACAATCCTATGATAAACGAGCTTAAAAACCCTCTCATATATCTTATGTAATTTGGCAAACGTGCCAAAATCTCTTCAGGGGTGGAAAACATAATTATTTTCCCCACTGTATGTGCCCCAGGGAAGTCTTAGGTGTAGAAATAGTACCAATTTCATGCTGTTTTTAATTGTCTGGAGTCTATAATGCGAAGAGTTCAAATGTGTGTTGTTGTATTCCACTTTTTTCTTAAGGACCAAGAAGACTGTGATATGGGTATCCCGGGTCTTTTTTCAAAAAGATTCCGTAACCATCACAACCCACTGTGTAAACCGAAAAATACATACATAATAAGGTAGCCCACAAAGAATCAGATTGACAATATTAACGCATAAAAATATTTACTCCAACTCAATCAAAATAGCAGAGTAAAAAATCCGTGGTAACAGTCGCAACCTAAAAATGTTCACCAATCAGCAACGTGAGAGTACCTATAACCCATAACACTAACCACAATGAGCGCTATTGATAGCCACTGGGGAAGCCAATAAGGTCTCCTGTATCGAGGGGTTTTTACTGCAATAAAAAAAACAATGTTGTGAACAATCACAAAAAAACTGTCACCACCCGAACTTCTTAGGCCTCATGCACACTTACAATTATACTATTCATACCACTCCAAACACTGACAATATAAACTACAAATAAATAAATTAAATTATACCCTAGTAGCATAAATCCACCTTCACCCTCTGAAGTTGTCAAATTGATACATCAAAAAATGCCACTCAATATAAATAATAAATCAAAACATACAAAATCCCCCCCCCAAAAAAAATCAAAATATGTCAAAATTCTAAGTCAAAACTATAACCCCAGCTGTTTGTAGTTGTCCCAAATATGTGATTCCACACAGTAAAATCTCAATATTACGAGCACTCCCACAGGCTTGCACGATCAAAATCACTTCAAAAGAAAACAGAAAAGAAAAAAACAGAGTGCATTATTCTTTTACATAAACTTTGAGTGAATGCACTCCACAATAAACACACTTCGTGAATCCCTCTATAGTGATTAGAATGCAAGTGTATAAGTGAAAATGCGTTGTGCCACACAGGTGAAAAAACCGTGTTCAACTTCTATTAAAGTAAGGATATAAATACCCTTACCAGAGCAACAAAAATAATTAAAGCCCTATCCAAATAGCAATGGAAAGTTCTATAGCCCTCGAAAGGATCCTTATGGTTATCCCATCTCTCCTTCTATCCTCAGGATCCCATCAACAAGTCAGTTCCATACTCCTCCTTACACCATACTCTACCAAATTGCCAAATATATGGGGGAATTTAAACGAGTGTAATACCGCCACTGTACCATGTAATACCTTTATTCATGTACTCACAATATGCCCTCCTTAAAACCTGCATTGATCCAGTAATATCAGACCATCTTTAACAATCCTCTGCAATCTCCAGATAGTTTGGTGTGCTTTTGCCACTACTAAAATGCCCGCCTCCCCCATTTCCGGTCCTCTCTTGCCTTTCAGCAATTCCTCTGCAGTCTCCAGATTTTGTTTGGTGTGCTTTTGCTACTACTAAAATGCCCCGCCGACCCCACCCACTTCTGGTCCTCTCTTAAGCCTTTCAGCAATCCTCTGCAGTTTTCCACGATTTGTTTGGTGTGCTTTTTTCCACTACTAAAATGGCCAAGGCCGCCTCCACTTCCAGTTCCTCGTGTGCGTCTGACGTCACTTCCCATTGACCGCGTTTTCGTCAGCCGACTGGTTGTGTGAAGTAGAAGTATCATTTTAATTCAATACTCCTCTTACAAAATCTTTAAGTATGTGAGTGCTTCATAGTACTTCAAATCACCACATAAAATAAAAATGCAGGATGGCAAATTTACAAAATGGTATTATTTTTAATAATAAATTCATCTTGAGTTCTTCATTTAACCCTTTGGGGTGCCAGGTTGGTTAGGGTATAACAAAAGTTTTCCGTGTGGCATAATTTTTTGAATTTCTCAGCAAAGGACTCACATTTCGGAGATGGCCTCTCATGACCCAGACAGTAACCCTAAATATGGATTTATTGTGCTTTTGTCAGGACACACTGGTTAATGCTGCCCTGCTCAATTAGCCTGCGATACTCCCCAAACCTGCAACCTCTTGGTCCTAATAGTTCTACCAAAATACAGCAGAGCACAAGGACATGAGAGGCAGTATACCACACAATTGAGAAGCACATGTATAGGAATCTTAGGCCGTCAGATTCTTATTAATATCGTCAGTAAAGCTTTTTTGTCACATGCTCAACAAATTGACACAAGAGGACATTAAAACCTTTCTCTATTGCTACATTACTTGTCAGGGCTCCCAGGTATGACCAGAGGTGTGTGACTGATGCAGGGAAACGCAGACTTCAGATATGTGAAAACAATACAATTTATTAACACTAACCATACAAACATAAACGCAGTGCAATACTAAACATAATACAGTGCAAACAAACCAAACCAATCACCCACAGATAACAGTACATACAAGCAAGCGTCGTCAGGCAGGCCGGGTCAATATCAATTGGGCAGGTAGGTACAGGGGGAGCAAGCAGAGAAATGGTCGGGGTCACAGGCCAGGTTCAGCATGGTAGCAAGCAGCGTAGTACAGAGGGTCAGGCAGAGGGATGGTCAGGGTCACAAGCCAGAGATCAAAACAGGTAACAAGCAGCGTAGTACAGAGGGTCAGGCAGAGGGACAGAAACAGGATGCAGGACAGATACAGGGCCCAGGACAAAACACAACACCAAGGCAGAGTCTGTGGGTCTGGCCATCCCTTAAATACCCCAGCATCATCAGTTCCAGGTGTTAGCTGGCTGAAAGGTTGAGTCTCTGATTGCTGGGAGCACCCGCTGGCCAGCCCTGGTACTGCGATCAGATCAAAAGGCAGGTGAGTCCCACCATTGCTGGCCAGGTCCATTCCTAACAGTACCCCCCCCCCAAGGAGCGGCCTCAGGACGCTCCAAACAGTCCTAGCTGGGCAAAATGTTCCACCGCCCGGGTCTGGTAACTGGCGGGATATCAAAGACTGGCACACCGGGCAGGACTCCGGGCAGCGGCACACCGGGCTGGACTCCGGGCAGAGGCACACCGGGCTGGACTCCGGGCAGAGGCACACCGGGCTGGACTCCGGGCAGAGGCACACGGGCTGGCACTCCGGGCAGAGGCACATCGGCAGGACATCCGGGCAGAGGCACACCGGGCAGAGGCACACACGGGCAGAGGCACATCGGGCAGAGGCACACCGGGCAGGACTCCGGGCAGAGGCACATCGGGCAGGACTCCGGGCAGAGGCACATCGGGCAGGACTCCGGGCAGAGGCACATCGGGCAGGACTCCGGGCGGCAGAGGCACATCGGGCAGGCGACTCCGGGCAGAGGCACATCGGATTACCAGGCGAAGCAGCAGGCAGCAACCACCGGGCGGAGCAGCAGGCACCGGGCCCCGGGCGGAGCAGCAGGCACCGGGCCCCCCGGGCGGAGCAGCAGGCACCCGGGCCCCCCGGGCGGGGCAGGCAGGGCACCGGGCCCCCGGGCGGAGGCGACAGGCATCGGGCCCCCGGGCGGGCGACAGGCACGGGCCCCCGGGCGGAGCGACAGGCACCGGGCCCCCAGGCGGGCGGCGGGCGCCGGGCCCCCAGGCGGGGCGACAGGCATCGGGCCCCCAGGGGGGGAGCGACAGGCATCGGGCCCCCAGGGGGCGACGGCACGTGCCCCCAGGCGGAGCGACAGGCGGGACCCCCAGGCGGAACGACGGCGGGCGCCGGACCCCCAGGCGGAGCGACAGGTCTCGGGCCCTCAGGCGGAGCGGCGGGCGCCGGACCCCCAGGCGGAGCGACAGGTCTCGGGGCCTCAGGCGGAGCGGCGGGGGCGCCGGACCCCCAGGCGGAGAGCGACAGGTCTCGGGCCCTCAGGCGGAGCGGCGGGCGCCGGACCCCCCAGGCGAGCGGCGGGGCGCGGACCCCCAGGCGGAGCGACAGGTCTCGGGCCCTCAGGCGGAGCGGCGGGCGCCGGACCCCCAGGAGGAGCGACAGGTCTCGGGCCCTCAGGCGGTAGCGGCGGGCGCCGGACCCCCAGGGAGGAGCGACAGGTCTCGGACCCTCAGGCGGAGTGGCGGGCGCCGGACCCCCAGGCGGAGCGACAGGTCTCGGGCCCTTAGGGCGGGAACGACAGGTCCTCAGGCCCCAGGCGGGGCGGCGGGCACCGGAGTCACCAGGCACAACCGTGGGCTCCGAGTCAACTGGGATGACCGCTGGCACTGGGTCAGACATTGGATCGTCTGGCTGGACAGCGGGCATCGGGTCACCAGGCATCAGGTCATTTGGCTCGACAGCGGGCACCGCGTCATCTGGCAAGGCAGTGGGCTCCGAGTCAACTGGTATGACCACGGGCACTGGGTCAGACATTGGATCGTCTGGCTGGACAGCGGGCACTGGGTCACCAGGCATCAGGTCATTTGGCTCGACAGCGGGCACCGCGTCATCTGGCAAGGCAGTGGGCTCCGAGTCAACAGGCACGACAGTGAGCACCGGGTCATCAGGTACCGGATTGTCTGGCTCGACAGCGGGCATCGGGTCACCAGGTATGACAGCGGGCACTGGGTCACCAGGCATCAGGTCATTTGGCTCGACAGCGGGCACCGGATCAGTGGTACCGGATCATCTGGATCAACAGCGGGCATCGAGTCAACTGGCCTAATAGGATCGTCAGGCTGGATCAGTTCATCATGCTGGGTAGAGGCATCAGGCTGAATGCGGCGTCCGGCTCCAGAGTCTTTCAGGCCGAGTAGAGGCTTCAGGCCGAGTAGAGGCTTCAGGCCGAGTAGAGGCTTCAGGCCCTCCGAGTAGAGGCTTCAGGGCCCCTAGTAGAGGCTTCAGTAGTTGAGGCATAAGAGGCTTCAGGCCGAGTAGAGGCTTCAGGCCGAGTAGAGGCATCAGGCCGAGTAGAGGCATCAGGCCGAGTAGAGGCATCAGGCCGAGTAGAGGCTTCAGGCCGAGTAGAGGCTTCAGGCTGAACCACGGAAGGCAGGCTCACCGGTTTGGATACTGGCAGGATGGTATTGGTTGGAAAGAATTTTCGCTTTTTTTCTGGTTTTAACTACTGGAGCACTGCAAGTAAACGCAGGTCTGCAAACGAATGGAGCAGCTGGAGACAGAGAAGAACTGGAGGATGGAACAGGAGAGGAGCGGTTGCTACAGAGGGCTCTTTTACAGGGTTAAAGGCAGGATAGGTGCAGCGAGTGGGAACAGGGTACTGACATGCGGTAGATAGCAGGGGCAGGAGGAGCTGTTGGGAATGCAGGAATAGAGTTTTGAGGAAATAGATTAGAAGCAGGACTGGGTCTTTGTAAGCTGACTGAGGCTGGGGGTGCAACAAAATCTGTCCATGTCTGCAGTATGGGTTGAACAAAGCTGAGCTTACACAAAGCCTGTCTGGTCAATGACTGCACTGCGTTTATACAATCTCTTAGTGTCTGTGGTGAACATGTGGAATAACGCTCCAGAAAGTAACCCACATCATCCTCTAATAACCACACCAGGGACTCTACCTGGTCTGCACTAAATGGTGGCAAAAATTCATCCCTGCATTCGGGGGTACCAGATGAAACCAACTCAGCACAAACCTCAATCAAAGGCTGCACCTCAGAGAACTCTGTGCCCTGATCTACTAGAACATGAGCGAGCCGTATACATTCTAGCAGTTCATCCCGGGTATACTCCTTCAGAGTTTGATAAGCATACTCCCTGTCATCAAACACTAGCAGATATAAATATTCAACCTCATCAAGATCCATCCTTCCCATCAACAAGCCAAGATGGCTTCCCTGTGCAGCCACTTCTGGTCAGGATTGGCCTTGGTGTAATGTCAGGGCTCCCAGGTATGACCAGAGGTGTGTGACTGATGCAGGGAAACGCAGACTTCAGATATGTGATAAACAATACAATTTAATTAACACTAACCATACAAACATAAACGCAGTGCAATACTAAACATAATACAGTGCAAACAAACCCAACCAATCACCCACAGATAACAGTACATACAAGCAAGCGTCGTCAGGCAGGCCGGGTCAATATCAATTGGGCAGGTAGGTACAGGGGGAGCAAGCAGAGAATGGTCGGGTCACAGGCCAGGTTCAGCAGGTAGCAAGCAGCGTAGTACAGAAGGGTCAGGCAGAGGGATGGTCAGGGTCACAAGCCAGAGATCAAACAGGTAACAAG